CCAGGAGGGGCGGTGGGAGCAAGAGCTGGGAGTAAATGCTCAGCACAGCAAAGGGACCGAGTATGTGAAGGTCGAGGGCACACTGCCCAGTGGGCCGGAGAGCAGGCCATGGGAGTGCAAAGGTGAGGAAGTCCTTGTCCTCCTTTCTCTTGGTTCACTTGCTGGCTATAAGGAAGTACACAGAGGAACAGGGAGTTACAAAGGACCCTGGAGGCCTCCCTGCACTTGATGACAAAGTGATACAATAGGTGATTCTGAGTGAATCAGTCAGGGAGGCCTTCCTGGAAGAGGTGAGTCTTCAAAACTTGACAGCAGCTGGAAAATAAGCCATCACTATGCCTTTGTTTCTCTCTCTCTTTAAGATTCTATTTATTTTTCATCATCCTTCACCGAGGATGATGGAGGGGTGACCTCCCTCAACTTGCTAACCACACTTCTGGGAATTGTTTCCTGTGCAGACAGCCAGGGTCCTTAATCCCAAAGCATCTGGCTTCCATGCAGTGATGTATCTCTTCTAAGGGACTGTTTCCAATGCCCATATGCTAAACAAACAAACTAGAGACAGCCAAGACTAATAACAGGTGTCTCATTTCATTTCAGGATGTGGTTAGTACTTTGAGGAAATACAGGCTCCAGAGAGAAAGTCTTAGATGGCCAGATTGGATCCAGAGAGCAGATACCTAGAAAGGGCCTGATTTAACCCTGGCGTTTTCTCTTTCCAAGGCAAATAAAAGGAACAAAGGTGAAACTCACGGCAAGGCACCACAGGGCAGTGCTAGGACAAGGAATTTGGAGTGACCTGAGTGATTGGTGATTCTGAGTGAATCAGTCAGGGAGGCCTTCCTGGAAGAGGTGAGTCTTCAAAACTTGGCAGCTGCTGGAAAAGCAGCCATTACCATGCCTCTCTCTCTCTTTTTAAGATTTTATTTAAATCTTAATTGAATAGAAGAACTGAGGTTTAGGCCAGTGATGGGGGAGGAGGGGAGGGGTGAGAGGATTCACCAGACACAGCATGGGGAGCAGAACAGGTGGAGCTACCGAAATACATTGCTGAGAGGAGCAGCGGGTGGGACAGGAGAGGTCTGCTGCGCCCTGTGGGTCACTCCCTGGCCGCGGAGCAGACCCAGGTGACAGTGCTGAGACGTAACCCCTAGACACCAGGGAGCTCACCATGCCTCGGATTCTCACAGTGCTCCCTCTTTCTTGCTGGAGCGCGAAAGTAAACCAAAGGATCTGGGAGGACGCAGGACGGTCAACACCTTCCCTTGCTGAGGGACCTTTTCTTACGCTTTGCTGGGCAGTTCGAGGAATGCTGAAGTGTTGCTCACCCCTGTGCTGGCCCAGCAGAGCTTGCTCAGCCTTGGGACAGGAAGCTGCCTCTGCGCCTGAGGCGGGTCCCTACCCATTTCCTCTGTAAGGCCTTCTTCAAGCCCACAGGAAACGCCACCATTTTAAACTTTGGTACTTGGCTGCTTGTGTTAACTATTGTTAACTTTTAGCTTTATTAGTTGTGGATACACAGTGCAGTCAGCTTTCCAGTGCAAAAGGGTATTCAGTGAAAGGTGTTCATGCTCCTGTCCCCTCCCTGGACAGGTGCTACCTGACCCCGGTGCTGCTTACTCTTATTCTCCAGCTAAATTTTTAAGATCCCTTTAAAAGACTCTTGGTGTCCCTGCGACCCAGGTGGAATGAATTATCCCACCCTGCCACCCAAGGGCATTCCCCAGCACACGTTCTCACTCCTCATTGACACTGCGGCCATGTTGGGCCAGACCCAGGGCCGCTCCACTGGCCCTCCAGCTCCCAGCCGGGGGTCACCTTCGCGGCTCTCACAGTTCTCTTTCTCTAATGCTGGCCCCCCAAGGACCTTTCATTCCCCTGAAGCAGGTCCAGGTACACTCGTCACAGCCGCCTCTCCCAGCCCCTCGGCTGTTCCCCTGGGACTCCCCACGTTACAGCTGCCTCTCCCAGCCCCTCAGCTCTTCCCCTCGGACTCTGCACGCCCACACCAAGCTCCTGGCTCTCCCCTATGGGCCTTGCCGTCTCCACTTGGGGCCTTTTGTGTGCTCCTTGGCTGCCTGGAATGCGCCCTGCTTGCCTGGCTAACTCCGGCTTGTGGTCAGTGCTCCACCCAGCTTCTCCTCTGCAGAACAGACAGCTGTCACTCTCCCCCATGAGCAGTCTCCTGCATGACCTCCACTCAGCACCCAAGGGTGCCCCTCTCGTGGTGTCTTTTGAAATCTGCCTTCCCCCATTGACGCTCCTCATAGGCTGGGCTTGCTCATCTCTCTATCTCCCATCTCACAGAGTCCTTGACATTTTTTTTAAAAAAGAATATCTATTTTTAAATTTTTAAAACGATTTATTTATGCATATCAAACTGGGGTACAGGCCAGAGGTGCGGGAAGTGAGAGGATTCACCAGAGACAGAGTGGGAAGCAGAAAAGGCGAATTTACTGAAACCCACTGCTGAGGGGAGCAGCGGGGAGACAGGAGAGATCTGCTGCACCTTGTGGGTCACCTCCCCGATGGAGGATCGAATTCGTGCTGCAGTGGTTGCACGAGCTTCATGGTGCTGTACTTTAACCTGTTGCACCTCCAGGGAGGGCCTGAGTCCCTGACATTGAGAAGGCATTTCATCTGTGCTGGCAGAAGGAACAAACCTACTCTCCTAGTACAAAATAGACACTGCATGAGATTTCATTTTCTCTCATTTCTGCTGCTGCTGTGAATTTGGTGTTATAAAAGAAAACCACCTGTCCCCTTAACCCAATAAAAGATCAGCTCACCCTTGAGCTCTCATGGCTAGGCTTGCCCGGTCTTGGAGACGCTGGCCACCAAGCTTCTCCCGAGGCAGGTGCTTGAGTTTTTAAAAAACAGCATTAGGGCCCTCCCTGGTGGCACAGCGGGTTAAAGCACAGCACCAAGAAGCTTAAGCCACTTCCGCATGAGTTCGATCCCCGCCTGCCCCAGAGGTGACCACATGGCGCGGCAGACCTCTCCTGGCCCGCCCGCTGCTCCCCTCAGCAGTGTACTTCCTCGATCTGTCTGTTCTGCTCCCCACTCTATCTCTGGTGAATCCTCTCACCCTCCGCATTTCTGGCCTGTATCCCAGTTCTGTATGAATGAATAAATAAATCTTTAAAAAAAAAAACAACAAAACAGCATTAAATATATCAGCTGGAGTTCCTTTTAAGCAAGACATGCCACAAGTTGATGGGCGTGAGTTTGACCAAGGTGCTGGAGTGACTTCTGGGAAACTGAGCAGGGATTTATTATTTCTAATAACAGAAATACTGATACCATTTATTGAGGGTACTCTGCAGAGTATTTTACACACATTATCTCTGATTTAATCCATACCACAACCCTGGGAATTAAGTATTAGTTACCCCTGCTTTATAGATGAGGAAATTGAGGCTTAGAGAGATTAGTTTGGCCACAGAACACGTTTGCTGATGCTAACACTAACACTTTTTGAGAACTTACTATGGGCAGAAACTGTTAAACTTTATCCAATTATTTTATCCGATTTAATCCTTCTAAGAACCGCAGGACTAGGTGCTGTGATTATTAGAAAGGGTAGAGCTGGGATTCGTGTCCAGGCCTGCTACTGCCAATGTCTAGGGCGCAACCAGCCGGCCTCCCTCTTCCCGAGTGGCGCCGGGAAGCGTTACAGTCATCCATCCTCCGAGCTGTGCAACCTCGTGTCTGGGACAGAATCCCCTCCCTGCCTGGAAGGTTCATGGAAGCTCAGATTTTTTTTTAAATATTTTAAATCCAATGAGTACACAAAATAAAATTTATAAATCCCATATTGAATGGACCGCATTCACCATCCCCTGGAAGAAAAAGCACTTGACTTGGAAGTTCCTGGAGCATCACAGCCCCACACTTCCCTCTCCCTCTTCAGTCCCTGTGACTTCATCAAGCCTCTAGCTTTCTTCAGTTTTCCCACTTACTCATTTTTGTGTTCATGCACAAGCATGTAAATCAAAATTGTTCATGAGGCCCTCCCTGGTGGCGCAGCGGGTTAAAGCACAGCACTAAGAAGCTTAAGCCACTTCCGCATGAGTTCAAGCCCTGCCTGCCCCCGGAGGTGACCCACATGGCGTGGCAGACCTCTCCTGACCCGCCCGCTGCTCCCCTCAGCAATGTACTTCTTCGATCTGCCTGTTCTGCTCCCCGCTCTGTCTCTGGTGAATCCTCTCACCCTCCGCATCTCTGGCCTGTACCCCAGTTCTATATGAATAAATAAATAAATCTTTTTTAAAAAATTTGTTCATGAACTGGGGATCTTTCTGCAACTTGCTGTTCCCACTCAGCATCCAAACTGTCACATGCACAAGTGACGGGCCTGCGTCACTGCTGGCGGGGCCCTCACAGAGGACAGTTCTCGCTCCCTGCCTTTGTTCTACTGCTGATGGACGTGGGGTTGCTTCTGAGTCATCCTGCTGGACTTGTGCTTCTGGAAACCTTCTGGCTCATGCTTCTTGGCTCACACCAGAATTTACCTGGAACATAAAACGACGGGTGTAATTGTGGGGTCATAGACCTTGTACATTTTAAATTTTACTTGACGGTGCCGAAGTGATTATGTTCATTAAACCCACACATCTAGTGTCTCCGTGTTCCAGTTCTTCTAGATCCATGAATGGCAGAATCTCAGGGTAGGAAAGAAGTTTGGGCTCCAGTCTCCTGGTTCTGTGGCTGGAGGAAATGCAGGCACAGCAAAGCCAGGCACTGGACCGAGGGGGCGGCCTCTCGGCCATGGGCCTGACCCCAGCCTAACCCCAGCTCCTGCTGCCTGACACCCTCTCCAGCCCTGCCTCAGCTCACTTCTCTCTCCCCTCCTCCCGTCCCAGGTAGATGCCCCACGTGTGATCGGGACCACGTGGCCAGCTGCTTCCCTGTCAGGCCCAGCCCTTGGCACTGCCCCTGCCTGGCCGCCCTCCGTCAGCCCTTGGCGCTCCCCCGCCTGGCCGCCCTCCGGCCCAGGAGATGAGGCTTCTGGGCAGACGCCACATGCGCCTACGCCTGGCTGCAGTGGGCAGCACCTTCTTGTTCTTCGTCTTCATCCTGCAGAGGGATGCGAGCAGCAGGGAGCAGGCCACAGAGAAGCCGTGGCTGAAGTCCTTGGTGAACCAGAAAGACCACGTCCTGGATCTCATGTTGGGGGCAGTGAACAACCTGAGAGACTCGATGCCCAAGTTCCAGATCAGGGCTCCAGACCCCCAGGGGACCCCAGTCTCCATGAACCAGTCCTGTCTCCCCGGGTTCTATACCTCGGCTGAGCTGAAGCCCTTCTGGGAGCGGCCGCCACAGGACCCCAACAGCCCTGGGGCGGATGGGAAGGCATTTCAGAAGACTGAGTGGACCCCCTTGGAGACCCAAGAAAAGGAAAAGGGCTACAAGAAGCACTGCTTCAACGCCTTTGCCAGTGACCGCATCTCCCTGCAGAGGGCCCTGGGGCCAGACACCCGGCCGCCTGAGTAAGTAGCTCGCCCTGCCACGTTCTGCCCAAGGCGTGGCTGTGATGCTGTGGGCACTGGCCACGCGCCAGGTCAAGTGCTGAAGGGGATTTTAGAACAGGGGCAAGAGTTTCCTCTAAGCCTCACTTTTTTCCTGACCAGCTGCCCTTACCCCACAGGCTGGGGCTCAAGAGAATTATGGTCAGACCTTGGGCCCAGGGAGCCCTGTGAGAGTGAAATGCGAGTATTAAGATGTCAGGACGCAGCAGGAGGCTCTGGGAGCGAGACCTGGGCCCAGACCCTGGCACAGGCGACTGGGAGGGGCTGATTCCAGGCCACAGATTCGCTGAACTGGACTCTGCTGAGGCCTAAGCCCAAAGACATGGACCCTGAAGCTGAGCTGTTGAGAAAAGGGCCTCACCCCCCCCCACACACACACACACAGTGGCCCAGGTGGTCTGGGCTGCTCCACCCTTCCTGGGTGAAGGCCTGCAGGGCCTTGCATTCATTGCAGCCTTTATTTGAACAGTTTATCTTCTCAATCCTGCACTTAGCTCTTTGACCTGAAGCCACCTCACTATAATAGTGCCATGGCCAGGTTCATCACGCCCTGCCCTCCTCACGTCAAAGACTTGTGTCTTCCTCATTGGGACACTGTCGTTTTCCACTTAGTAGTGATATCCTTTTTGGCCTTGTCTTCTACCATAGGCTAGAAAATAGCATCAGTGACATTGCCAGCCTTAGTGATGATAGTGGCAATGCAATTAATAGTTGAAATTATGGAGCTACTTCAGAATTGGAAAAAATATTCACTTCCAGTGATATGCTGGAGCCACCTCTTAGCTACACACAGAACCAGTTGTTACTAGGAATTTTGTGAGCCGGTTGTTAAATAATTATTTCTAAGCATTCTGTTATAAGAACATACAATTAAATAGTGATATTAAAAACAATGTTAACAAATTTTCAAAAATTTTCATCACCTTCAGCTTATTTTACTATAGTCTATGTGCTTTAGGTCATTTGCATCTATTTGTATATACACATATCTGTATGATTGGTGGAAATACTATGAAATGGCTTGTTACTGTCAAAATAAATAATAAAAATAAAAATCACAGGGGCCAAAGAAGTACAGTGGAAGAGACCATAGGCTTCTGCTAGGATGTGGCAGACCCAAACCCCTATTTATGGTTCTTCAGGATTATGAATCTGGGGTTCCTCAGACTTGAGCCAAGCACCAAAGCCCCAGGGCACGGAGACACTTGGGGCCTCCCGAGTGCCTCAGAGGGAAGGGCGCTGGGTGTGAGGCGGGCTGTGGGGGAGCTTGCATCTCCACTAGAGGTCCGGACAGCCTCTGTGACCAGCAGGAGGAAGGGCGTTGGGCCACCGGCGTCCTGGAGACGCGGGATTCGCGCATTCCCGCCTCCTCCAAGATGGCGGTCAGGAGGGAGCAGTGTGGCCCAGCGCATGCGGCTGGAGTGGGTGAGGGGCGCGGGAAGGTCGCGGAAACGGAGGCGCGGTAGCATCAGGCTACAGGGAACTCGAGAGAAATGGGTTGGAGAGGAACTACAAGTTGTGACTGAAAAGCCTTTGCTGTCACTGGGTGTGGAAACCGTGGTCGCTTTCCCCTCCAGCTTTCCCTCAGGGACCCCTCGATGGCATTACTTCATGCGGGACCCTTAGGGGACCCTCGGCCCTGGGAACTCCCCGACCTGACGAGGGAATGGAGGGGAGCGTGGAGGGACCCCTCAGCCTCGCAGCTACCCAGGAACCGGCCTGGCAGAGCCGGGCAACAAAGCCAAGCCAGGAACGGGCTCACGGCTGCGGCTCCAGCCGGCGCTCTGAGGGCGGCAAGATGGCGGTGGAGGCCTGGACCGAGCGCCCCGGGCCCCTGGGCCTCCCCGGGACCTGCGAAGCTGGAGCAACGCTTTCATCCTTCCAGATGTATTGACCGGAAGTTCCGGCGCTGCCCCCCACTCCCCACCACCAGTGTCATCATCGTGTTCCACAACGAGGCCTGGTCCACGCTGCTGCGCACGGTGTACAGTGTCCTACACACCACCCCCGCCATCCTGCTGAGGGAGATCATACTGGTGGACGACGCCAGCACGGAGGGTGAGGCTATGGGGGGCCCGGGGAGGGGCTGGGCATGCCGGGAAGGGGGCAAGTTCTCTCGAGGGCAGGCATCGTCCCACGGCCCTGTTGCCTGGAGTCATAGTTCATCAAAAAGGCCAGGGGAGGAAGGAGGCAGGTGAGGGAGGAAGGTGGGGGAGGGGACAGGTAGCCCACACCTGAGGCGGGGTCCCAAGCAGGTCAGTCTGGGACAGCGGGTGGCAGAGGGTGGCCTTCCCCTGTGTGGCTCCCCTGCTCGTCCACTCTTCTGATCTGGAAAATCCAATCAAGGACCCCTTTGCCCGTAACGCCAAAAAACAAAGGTGCCCCCCAAAAAAAACCAACAACATCCGCGGGCCCCTGTGCCTGGCGCTGACCTAGCTCTAGGGCCCTGACCCCACGCGACAGTGACAAGTGAGACAGTGCGTACCCTGAGCGGTCAGTCAGCTGGCCGCTTGCAGAGCCAGCCACAGTGGTGTGGCCTGCAGCACGGCTCTAAATAAAGGACGTGAAAGGGGCTTGAGAGTTGACACTCAGGCGTTCGGGGCCTGGCTGAGTCTTCTCTTGCTCTGTGATCATGGGCAAGATGTGGAACCTCTCTGAAACTCACTTTCCTCTGCTAAAAATGGGGACAGCTGTCTCCATCACATGGTGGGCATGAGACAGAGATGAATCACACACCATTGGCAACTTGGCACGTGAGAACCCCATAAACAATAGACTCGCGTGTCCTTTGTACCGGAACAATGCTCTGTCGGGCCGTGGAGCCAGGCTCGGGCCGGCCAAGGCTGGGCTGGAGCAGCGGGTGTCTGGGGAGAGTGAAGAGGTGGATTCCTGGAGGAGGAATGGCAGACACAGAGTCCTGGAGACAGAGGTGTGTTTGGGGGAAATGATGAGTTTTGATGTGGTTGCAGCTTCAGTGGGTAGTAGGAAATGACTCTGAAAAGATGAAGAAATTCGTGCCATGGTAAAAGTATTTACCTAAAAAAGAAAAAAATTTCCTGGAGGTGTTTAAGCTGAAAAGTGACCTTGTCTCAGAGGGCTAGCAGCTTGTGGGGGCACGGAAGGAGGGGGTAATTGTCAGGCGGAGAGGCAGAAAGCAGGTTCTTAACATCATCTGAAAAAAGGGGCTGTGGGTGCACCCTCAGACCTGACATCTGTGGGAGCAGCGGCCCCCTCCCGGTGCCCACCATGTCCGGGGCGCTCTCTCCCCAGTGTGGAACCGGGGAGCTGCACTCCAGGCCCTGCCCCTCCTCCCCTCCCCTCCCCCCCCCCGACGGGCATCGGGCATCCATACATGCAGCGTCCTCGCTGGTGCCCTGCAGACCCGGCAACGCCCCTCCCTGGCCCTG